GCAGTCCCACAGCTGGAAAGCAGGTGCCAGAGGGGGGTTGTGCAAGGCCAGGCCCTCCCCTTCCTCTCCTTCCGGCTTGGAGCCAGTGTGGGACGCCCCCCCTTCCTGGTTCAGCCCTTCCCTGCCCTCTTGGAGCAGCGGGTTGGACTAGAAGACCTCCCGGGTCCCTTCCAACTCTGCTATTCCCTTATTCTGCCCACCAATCAACCCCCACCGGCTGCCCCTTTCCCGGAGGGGGTAACGGCACCGCTTGCTGGGGTCCAGATGTAAGAAGCACCTCCCTGCTTTGCCCCCCACCCAGAACGCTGCAGAACCAGGTATTCTGGGGGGGGGCATTCTCGCCCTTCATCTCCCCCCCCTCCTCCTCCCTGTCAAATCGCCCCCTTCCCAAAGGCCCAGCAGGAGGCCAGAGTCCCCTCCCCCCCCCCATCCGAATTCGGCCTCCCGGGACAGAGGCAGCCCCTGAAATGGGGGTGGGGGGGCAAACGTCCACCGGGCTGGCAGGCTTCTGTGGGGGGGGAGCAGCCCCCCCCTGGCCCCCCCACTCCAGCCAGGCCCCACGGCCACCAGTCCGGCCACATTGAGGCGGCAGCTCCCAGCCACATTGGCTCCTTTGGCCTCCGTGGTTAATCATTGATGCAACAACCGAAACCAGAGGAGCGATAAACAGCCCTGTGCGCTCTCGGTTACACACACACACAACAAACACACACCCCGGGCAGAGGGAAGGCTTGTGTTGCTGTTGTTGCAGATCAGGAAGAGAAAATTGGGGGGGGGGATTATGGAGGAAAATTCCTAGTGGGGAAAATGCCGGGAGGGGTTGGAAGAGGGAGATGCCTAAAGCCAGGAGCAGGGAGATAAAGGGCCGGAATATATCTAGGCCGGCCAGCCAGAGGCAAGCGAGGGGGGGTCTCCCGGGGGTCTCCTCCTAGCCAGGGGGCTGCCCAAAGGGCCGAGTGGGCGCTGCAATGCCCCCAAAAGGCTCAGCTGTGGGGCAGACCTCTGGCAACAGAATAGTAGAGTTGGAAGGGACCTTGGAGGTCTTCTAGTCCAACCCCCTGCTCAGGCAGGAGTCCTTATTCCATCCTGGACAAACAGCTGTCTGGTCTCTTCCCAAGAGCCTCCAGTGATGGAGCCCCCACAACTTCTGGTGGCCAGGAGTTCCGGGGGTGAATTGTTCTAATAGTCAGGCAATTCCTCCTTAGTTCCCGGTTGCTCCTCCCCTTGGCTGGCTTCCAACTCTTGGGCGTTTCCCTCCCTGCCTCGGAGGATCAGCACCCTTCAGGGTCCCAGAGGAAGCCCCCTCCCCAAAACGATGGCCCTGCTGGTGAGGGGAGAGGCGTTGCCCCCGAAGTGCCCCCCCCCTTGATCCCTTCCTGGCCCGGCCCAAATTCCCAGCCTGGCTGGCGGCTGGCACTACCAGAGCAACCAGGGCGCCCAGGGCCGCTGCCTCCCCCGGGGGGCTCCTTTGTCCCTGCTCCACTCACCCATTCCTCCACATTGGGGCCCCCCTCCAGCGCTGGGGGCCGGTCCCAGTAGATGTTCTGCTTGCCAAACTGCCAGATCTTCTGGCGCGTCTTGTGGGCGAAGAAGCAGATGACGCAAAGCAGGATCACCAGGAGGAAGCCACAGACGATGGCCACGGCCTGGGCGGGGAGGAGCAGAGGGGGGGGGCAGTTAAACCCGGTCTCCCTCCCGTCCCCCAAATTCCCCAGAGGAGGAGGGGCTCTCTCGGCTGGCGTTCGGGGTCTCCATGGAGGAGGGAGGGTCTCAGTCTCTGCCGGAGAACCTCCCCGCACAGCAAGAAGAGACCCCCCCCAAGCCCCCCCACCCCAGCCAGGCCTCCAAGGCGAGCCACAAGGAGGTTGTGCACATCCACAGGGGACAAATTAGGCAGGCCACGGCATCGTGGCACGTGGGAGGTCCACGGCCTCCTTGCAGAACGCCCCACAGCTGTGCCCTCTGCCCCAAAGTCCTCAAGATGCCCCCCCATTTCATCTGGGGACAGTGAGGACGCCTGTTTTGGGGGGTGTGGGGGGGGCACCATTCCCTGTGCATCACAGCCACGAAGCCTTTTGGGATTCCAGGGCACACAAAACAGAGACTCAGCAGTGCTTGCTGGGGGACACGAGAATTTGGGGAGGGGGATAACTGAAGGGGAGATGGAAAGGCAGGAACAGGGAAGGGGAGCC